CACAATGGGCAGCTCACAACTACCTGTAACTAAGGGCAGAGATCTGATGCCCTCTTCTGGCCTCCTTGGGCAGTGCACTCATGTGCACAGACTGCCCCCCCCCACGTTGCATGTTGTGGGGTATTTGTACACTGTGTGAAGGTATACTGCTGTGATTGATGTAATAAAGAGCTGGACAACCAACCAATAGCTAGGCAGGAGGTATAAGCAGGACTTCTGGGCAGAGAGAGGAGGTGCAGAGTAGACACCAACAAGACATGGAGGGAGTTAGGCATACAAAATGGAAGAAAGATTAAAAAGTCACATGGTAAAATGTAGATGAGTAAAAACAGGTTAAGTTATAAGAGCTAGTGGGACAAGCCTAAGCTAAGGCCAAACTTTTACAACAAATAATAAGTCTCTGTGTCTTTGTCAGCTGGCAGACCAAAGAAAAATCCGACTACATGTGGTACCCAATGTGGGGCTCAAATATCCACATAGAGCCTGAAGAGTGGTGTCTTGGGTAGGCTTGGCATGCAGAGGTGTGACTCTTTTAAGAAGCTCTGCTGTTGCCGGGCGGTGGTGGCGCACGCCTGTAATCCCAGCACTTGGGAGGCAGAGGCAGGCGGATCTCTGTGAGTTCGAGGCCAGCCTGGGCTACAGAGTGAGTTCCAGGAAAGGCACAAAGCTACACAGAGAAACCCTGTCTCGAAAAACCAAAAAAAAAAAAAAAAAAAAAGAAGCTCTGCTGTGCATGAGGTTAGGCTCTCAGGGAACCAAGGGGAGCACCACCACCCCCAGCTCATTGATATTAATTTAAGGTTATTTTTGTTATAATGTATATATGTTTCTATTCTTGTTTAAGGTATTGTACCTATACAGCTCATTTAAAAATATAAAGTTTTAGTCACTGAAAGCTATTTAGGATAATAAAAAAAAATGTTAGTAGTTAGTCATCTATAACAATCAAACTTATAGTCATAATAGGTAGTTTTTCAAGGTCAAATAGATATATTTTAAATAGATGGTCTTCAAACACTTCAAAGACCTACAGAATATGGCATTTAAGATGTTTAATAACCTAAGGTTTTTCATGACAGTGAGACACATCTGCTCCTGGCAGCACCAATTTACTTCAAAAAGGATGATGGGCATCAAAGAACCTCCATATGGAGTTTGCTTTCAACGTGGCACAGCTAGTCACTTGGCCAAGAAACTGCCCTTGCCATGACTGCTGACAGTATGTTGTCTAAACTGGGCAAGCAGGACACGAAGACAACTGCCAACTTTGCCAAGACAAGTGGGACAGTCCTTCAAAAGTCCTGCTTCCCAGAAAAGCCTGTCAGACACTCCAGGCCTGTAGGTGAAGATGGATGCCCCAATGGTGCAGAGGAACCTTGACTGACTGTCCAGGCAGCTGTTTCTGTCATTTCTATAGTTTTGGAAGTTGCTTGCTCTGCACTTCCTGTTTACTCAGGTATTATTATATCCTTCCCAGGTCGCTGATGGAGTTGAAGAAGAGATAGTTATAGTTACAGTTTTCCTTGTTACCAAATTCCGAAAAGAAACTCACAAACGAGATAAAAGGTACATAAGATTGAGAGACATAAAAGCTTAAGTTGTTTATCTAAGAAAATGTTTTGAGGTCTAAAAAGATAGTTTTGGATTGGTAATACAAGTTAAGATAGAAAGTAAATTAGGAAGCCAGGTGTTGGTGGCGCATGCCTTTAATCCCAGCACTTGGGAGGCAGAGGCAGGAGGATCTCTATGAGTTCCAGAACAGCCAGGACCATTACACAGAAAAACCCTGTCAAAAAAAAAAAAAAAAAGAAAAGAAAGAAAAAAGAAAAAAAAAAGAAGAAAGTAAATTAGGTACAAAACCCATCAAATAGGATCGATAATGGGGGTATTTTCTCTGAATTTGCCAAATGCAAATGGACTGGTATAGCCGGAAGTTTCTCGGTCTTGCCCAGCCCTGTGGTCCCGCAGCTGCTTATAAAATAATCACTCTCTGGGTGGTGGTGGCGCACACCTTTAATCCCAGCACTCGGGAGGCAGAGCCAGGCGGATCTCTGTGAGTTTGAGGCCAGCCTGGGCTACAGAGCGAGGAGATCCAGGACAGGTACCAAAACTGCACAGAGAAACCCTGTCTCAAAAATACAAACAAACAAACAACAACAAAAAACAAAATGAAAGAAAGGTAAAAAGCCACATGGTAAAACATAGATTAATAAGAATATGGTTTAACTCAAGTTATAAGAGCTAGTTAAATACAAGCCTAAGCTAAAGGCCAATATTTCATAATTAATAAGAAGTCTCTGTGTCATTATTTGGGAGCTGGTAGGACAGAGAAAGACTCATTACAAACACATATACATGCACATAAATAAAAATAAGCAAAAAAAAAAAGTGGTATATTTGAAAAAGGGAGACAATGATTTGCTCCCAGTTTGGGAGGTCCAAGAGCATGGTGCTGACATATTCCAGCCTAGACGAGGCTGCAAACACAACATGGCAGGCCGGTGGGGTTCACGAGGAGAGACCACGTGGAAAAGCAGATTTCAAGTTTACTCTCTCTTTTTGTTGTTGTTGCACTTTTTTAAAGACAGTCTCACTCTATTCCAGGCTGACCTGGAACTCGCTCTGTAGCCTAGGCTGGCCTTGACCTCAGAGTACTCCTCTGACCTCTGCCTCCTAAGTGCTGGGATTCAGGCAGGAGCCACTGTGCCTGGCATTCCTGCTCTTTAAAAACGCTTTTCAGTAGTATACATTAATGACACATATAGCAGGTTTCATTATAACTTGTTCATAGATGTACACAATGTATTTCGATCGTATTTATCCCGTTACCCTCTCTTCTCCCATCACTATTGCAATCATTTTCCTCTTTCCCTCTTCTACTTTCTTTTTTTTCTTTTTTTGGTTTTTCGAGACAGGGTTTTTCTCTGTGTAGCTTTGCGCCTTTCCTGAATCTCTCTCTGTAGATCAGCCTGGCCTCGAACTCACAAAGATCCGCCTGGCTCTGCCTCCCGAGTGCTGGGATTAAAGGCATACGCCACCACCACCCGGCCTCTCTTCTACTTTCATGGTGTGTGTGTGTGTGTGTGTGTGTGTGTGTGTGTCTGGCAGAGAGCCTATGTAAGCTCAATAAACTAATGAATTTCATTAGGGTCGCTAACAGGAGCATGAGGGCCTTAACCAGTGGCCACACCATCAACCATTAACTGCATAACCCCCCCAGAGAGGGGTGGGGTCCAGCTCTCTCTGCAAAGCAGTCTGTCAGGAACTAACCCTCTCTGTGGGTATCCCCAGTGACTTCATTGCTCTAGGCCTCTCCTCTTAAAGGTTCCAGTGGGGACTGGAGGTGTAGCTCAGTGGAAAAGTAACACACATATCATGCAGGAGGCCCTGGACTCTATCTCCTGGCCCCAAAACATTCCACTGCCATACTCAGGACTAAGCTTGCAACACACCAATTCCTGGAGGACAATCCACATCTACACCACAGCAATCCCCAGAACAATTTCAGACTCCTTATGGTCACCTTCCACTACACACCATTGCTAAGAATGGTGGGTTAAGACAACTGTGTGTGCCATGAGCCTACAGGCCAGAGCTGCTCAGGAGACTAAGACAGGATTTAGAACTAGGAGACTGAGCCAACCTAGGCTAACAAAGTGAGACCAGGTCTCAAAAAACCCAAGTAAACGCCGGGCGATGCTGGCACACGCCTTTAATTCCAGCACTCGGGAGGCAGAGGCAGGTGGATCTCTGTGAATTTGAGGCTAGCCTGGGCTTCAGAGTGAGTTCCAGGAAAGGCTCCAAAGCTGCACAGAGAAGAGAAAACAAAACAAAACAAAAACCCAAGTAAGGGGCTGGCGCCAAGGCTCAGTGAGTCAAGTGCCGGCCGCACAAGCATGGGAACCTGAGTCCAGAACACCAGTACTCAGGTAATAAAGTGGGTGTGGCAGCCCGCTTCTATAACCCCTGTGCTGGGTGGAATTGGGGTACAGAGACAAGAGGACATTGGACATTGACACCCATGCACCCCTACTTGCAATCTGCAGGGCACAGCAGCATCCATCTGGAACCTGGGGGAGGGAGTGAAGAAGAGGCAGGATCCCTCTGCCATACCCTCCCTAACTCAACACACAAGTCCCACAGTGGGGCAGAGGCGGGTGGTACCCTACTCCCACGTGGTTCACAGACATCATCTCTGGGAGCCCTCCACATACTTACCCTCCGTGTTATTACAACTCCCAGAAGACACTTCTCTGGCAGAAGTGGAGATAGAGATGGGAACAATGCCAGAGCTTATGGGCCAGCTAGCCTGGCTGGTTCTGCAAGCTCCAAGTTCAGTGAGATGCTCTGCCTCAAAAAATAAGGTGGAAGACTAGGCAAAGGCATGTTGCTGCCTTTTGATCTCAGCACTCTGAGGCAGAAGCAAGTGGATCTCTGTGAGTCTGAGATTTTTTTTTTTAAAGATTTATTTATTTATTATGTATACAGAGGAGGGTGCCAATCTTATTACAGATGGTTGTGAGCCACCATGTGGTTGCTGGGAATTGAACTCAGGACCTCTGGAAGAGCAGTCAGTGCTCTTAACCTCTGAGCTATCTCTCCAGCCCGAGTCTGAGATTTTTGTTGTGGTTTTTCAAGACAGGGTTTCTCTGTGTAGCCCTGGCTGTCCTTGAACTCATTCTGTAGACCAGGCTGGCCCAGAACTCAGAGATCCTCCTGCTTCTGCCTCCAGAGTGCTGGGATTAAAGGCGTGTGCCACCACCATCCCTCAGAGGGTTCCTACTAGCCTGGGCTACATAGGAAGACCATGTAGCTTGAGCTACAGAGTGAGATTGTGTCTCAAAAGGTCCCAAATCAAAACAACAAAAGCCTGAACAAAACAAGGAGTGCTATTTAACTTCCCCAGAACAGCCTGGAGCACAGTGAATGCTCAATGATTTCACTTAACTGAACACACTGTCTCCCAGCTCTACTGTCAGAACCCCTTCTTCCCTGGGAGGCCTGGCCAGGAGGCATTGTGAGTCATAGCCGGCAGACAAGTGGGGTGAAGTGATCCAGAAATGGGGCCAGGCCTGGGACAGCAGCTTGGGCACCTCCACCACATCTTCCAGGTGAGGAACAACTCGCAAGGAATGTCAGGGAACAGTCTTCCGGGGAGTTGTGACCTCAAGGATAGATGTGTAGGGAGACCAGAGGCGGTCTCCATGAACTAGATAAGGGTGGGGATCAATCAGCCTGCCCCTGCCCAAATGTGTGTTGATTTAATGAAGGTGTGGCAGAGGGAACCCTGCCTGTATTTCTCTTTACTCCTACCACCGGCAGGAAAGGTCTTTAAAACAACACACTGTACAATCAGTACTTTGTGGGTGTTGGGAAAAGAGACAAGAAGCAGGTAGAATGGAACTCTGGGCTGTAGAATCCTTGAGGTAGAAACAAAACTCAGCTCTGCTGTTCAGAATCCCAGTCTCCTTAAAGCTAGGCATATGTCTAGGCGAAGACGTGTGTCCCAGGATATCATTGGCCACACATGTCTTTCCAGTTGGACCAGGAGCATCTTGAGGGTAGACAATGGCTGTGCTGATGGTACCCTCTGTGCAGACCAGGCCTGGCAAGGAGCAGGTGCCAGTGTAAGAATATCACATAACCCGAAGATGGGCCTATGCCAGGCACTCTGTGGAATCCATACTAAATCTGGCTCTGCAGCCTTCAGCAGCCTCCCTTAAGGAGTGATGCCTCACCTGTCCACCTTGCCTGTACTGCACGTTAGGATGCCCTGGCTCACCTTTCTAACCTACTTTCCTGCTTGCTATTCTCAGAACCAACCTTATGCCCAGGCTCTTCTGCACATCTGGAACATGACAGCCTAGCCTCACTGTCACCCTGCCTCACAGCTCTCCATTACATTCCCATTCCACTTAGCAAAGGCTGTCCTACTGATCCCCACCTGTGGTCCCTTACAGCTGCATCTCAGAGAACGGGTTCCCAGGCCTTTCCCTACATTATCTCCTGCACACCCACAAATGAAGGGTCCTGGGGGAGTTGTTTTGGTGAACGCCGATATGAATATGCAGGAATGGGCTCCCCCAGTGGCCTGGAACTGCAGAGCCCTGGGTGGTGGGGACAGCCTGTCCTGAGCGGGCCGCTCACCGGCCATTTGCTTCTCAGCAGTGCCACTGGCTCGCCTCCATCAATTCCAGGACAGCAGGGCTCCGGACACCCACGCGCTCCGCGTGGCCCACCCACACTTCGCCCTGGAGGCCTTCGAGTCCCTGGTCGCGGGCCACGCGAGCCACCTGTGGGAGGAGCTGCGGCAGTTCTGGGCCGACCACTTCTCGCGCCGCTTCTCGCCGCGGAGGCCGCCGCTGCGCCACTTCTCATCCATGTCCACCTTCTACCTGCTGGACCACCGCACGCGCCAGGCCGAGCTGGGGTTGAACTACGGCGCGCCGCGCACCCGACTCAGCAACGAGGAATTCGTGTTCCGCGGCGGCCGCTGGACCGCGGAGGAGGAGTGTCACGCCCGCCCGCGGTCGCCGCCGCCCTCGCCCACCGGCTCGGCCTGGGAGCCGCAGGTGCAGCCGATCAAGAGCCAGGTGCTGCTGGAGGAGAACAACTACCTGAAGCTGCAGCAAGAACTGCTCATGGACATGCTGACCGAGACCACCGCGCGCCTGCACCTGCTGGAGAAGAAGGTGGACGCGGACGTAGTTCCCGAGGCCGCGGCGCGCGCCTGGCAGAGGAAGATGCGCAAGCACGGGGGCGCGGGCGTGCTTATGATCCCGGCGCGCGCTCTGGAGTCGCGGTGACGCAATAAAGCCATGCAGAAAGCCGAGCTGCGCGTGCGCGTCTCGCCTCGTCCCGCCCGTGGCTAGGGTGGCCGGATGCCCGCGTGCAGGCCCGGTGCTCCATGGTAGCACTGTGTGCGGTCCAGATATCCGGGTGCAGGAGGCAGCGAGCGTGTGGCGCCCGGGCTGGGGAGAGGTGGGCAGACTGGGGCGTTCGTTGCGCTTCACTTTTTCTTGATCCAGGGCCTTAAAGGAGTTTCTTGAAACCTTGGGTCCTGCTTTCCCTCACTTGCCAGAGAGGTTCACTTTGCTGTTTTCCATTCATGTCTCCGATAGGGTCTGATTTTTCTCCTTCGTGGAATAAAGGTATCTATTTGACTCAGCATTTTAAAAAATCCATTGGGAGCGGGGCAGTGGTGGCATGCCCCTGTAATCCCAGCACTCAGGAGGCAGAGGCAGGTTGATCTGAGTTCCAGGTGAGTCTGGTCTACAGAGCTAGTTCTAGGACAGCTAGGGATACAAAGAGAAACCCTCTCAAGAAAAACAAAAACGAACCAAACAACAAAATGCACTGGGGCCCCACAACCTCACACATAAATAAGGTGTGTGGCATATATACGTGTAGAGCACATATATGGCATATGTGTGTATGGCGCATAGATACATGGCAGGAAAGGGCTTGACACACAGCTCAGTGTTAGAACACTTGTCTAATATGCAAGGCCGTGTGTTCAAACTCCATTACTTCAATAATTCGTTTTTGAGTTAAGGGTCTCACTATGCATGCTGGGGTTAAAGAGGTGTGCCACCACACCCAGCAGGAAACAACTACTTAAACACGTTTCTAATACACGGGAGTTTGTGGGAAAGCTGATAAGACATATGAGAGGCTGAGTCACAGCAAGGGGGA